ATCAAGATGGCTAGACAGACTAGACAAACTGGGAAGCTCTGGATCCAGTCAGAGACTGCTTCAGGAATAAGGCGAAAAGCAACCTAGGAAGATACCTGATGTTAGCCTCTGACCTTCACATGCATGGATAACCCTCATGCGCAGCTCACGCAGGCATGCCATCCCTCCAGCTCAGAGAATCACTAGCTTAGCTAGGGCTGTCAGGAAGGATATGAGGCTACATTCTTTGAGTATAGACCTGAATCAAGTTTCGGAACAAGACATGAGCATCTAGCATAGCAATTCTCACCTTGTGGGTTGTGACTCTTTGGAGATCACCTAAGACCATCAGAAAACACAGATACTTACATCATGATTCGTAACAGTAGCGAAACTACAGTTACGAAGTAGCAACTAAAATAACTTTATGGTTGTGGTTCACCACAATGTGAGGAACTGTAGGAAAGCAATAGGAGGGTTGAGAACCACAGACCTAGCAGAAGAAAACAGCCTTTAAGTTGGGAGAATGCTTGTCACATCTGAGGAAACTAAGAAGACTGACCAGTGTGGATGGGACAGAAGGAAAGAGGGGTAGTGGGGTGAGAAATGTGGGGCTGGAGACTTGGCTCAGTGGTAAAGTATTTGCATAGTATGTGATAGTCCCTGGTGAATCTCCAGCATTGAGGGAAACCAACCAGCCAACCAACCAGGAACCTACTAACCAACCAACCAACTAGGAACTAACCAGCTATTCAGGAACTAACCAACCAACCAGGAACCAACCAACTAGTTACATATATGCCAGACACGTTTGTAAGTGAATTGATGTCTTTGGAGTTTACTCTAAATGCAGGAATCACCTGATGCTTCCCAACAGAACAGTCAGGTTCCTTTTGCTGCTAAGTGGAGCGCATGAGAGAGAGGCAGAGGCACACGTAATGATGGAGATCTGAGAAGGACTCAGAGTCAGGAGATGGTATGAGAGTAGAAATGACACGGATTGCTGATGGACCAAGTATGGGGGAATCTTGAGCCAAAGGATTTTGGGGTTTGGAGTAGGTGCCATTTTTTTTCTCTCTCTTTTGTTTTTGTTTTTCGAGTAGGCACCATTTGTTAAAATGAGGAAACCTAGACAGGGTGAAGTTTAGGGAGAGTATCAATAGTTCACTTTCAGACTCCGGAGGCATGGCTGACTTCCAAGTTTTTGAGACCCATGGCTTTTAATAGTGACAAATGATGTTAGACAGAAGTGATGGGGCAGGAAACTGAAGAAATAAACCTGTTTCTGACAAAAATTCAAAGACAAAATCCCCTAGATAGTCAAGGGGTTAAAAAGTAGATCAGCAACAGGCCCGAAATGGCATCCAACTCAAGGAGAGGCCCCAAGGCCTGGCACTATTACTGAGGCTGAGGAGCACTCACAAAAAGGGACCTATCATGACCGCACTCCAAAAGACCCAGCAAGCAGCTGAGAGAGTCAGATGCAGATGTTTACACACAACCAATGGACAGAAGCTGCTGACCCCTGTGGTTGAATTAGGGAAAGACTGAAAGAAGCCAAGGAGCAGGCGACTATGTAGGAGTGTAACAGCTGGTTCCTTTGTAACCACCGGTTCTGCTTCTTTGTAACGCCCCTTATGCTGCTCGGGTTCGCAGGTCAGAGTCTAGCAAGAGAGAGAGTGGGGATGGAGGGACGAGAGACGTGAAAAATGGATACAAGACAGAGTCTGGTCAAGTCTCTTCTATTGAAAGGAAATCCTGGGTGTTTATACCCTTTACCATGTGACTTGCCCTCGTGGACAAGCACAGCTGAAGACCCTCCGTCATGCGCCTAGCAGCGTGGAGACCACGTGTACCTAGCTGCTGGTGGCACTAAACAGCAAAACAAGATGTTTATCAGAGTGTGCTCAGCTGTTGTCGGCTGTTGAAAACAAGTCTTTTGTCAGGGTATATGGCTCGAGATGGCTGTAAAGATGACAGCTGCTTTCAGCTAAGAGTCGGCTCCCAACATAGGAGGACCAGCAGTCTCAATTAACCTGGACCCCTGAGATCTCTCAGACACTGGACCACCAACCAGGCAGCATACACCAGCTGATATGAGGCCCTCAACACATATTCAGCAGAGGACTGCTGGGTCTGGGTTCAGTCAGAGAAGATGCACCTAACCCTCAAGAGACTGGAGGCCCCAGGGAGTGGAGAAGTCTGGTGGAGTGGGGGGTGGGCTAGGGGGTGGGGACATCCTCATGGAGACAGGGGGCGAGGAGGAGGTATGGGATGTGGAACAGTCAGAGGGTGGACCTGGAGGGGGATAAAATCTGGCGTGTAAAAAAAAAAAAGATTAAATAAAAAAAAAATTAAAAAAAAAAGTAGACCAACTACTGAGTCTTTCTCATATATGCTGTGATTTCAGGGCAAGAGGGATTTTCTTTCTTCCAAAATATTTTCACCAAATTTTGAAAGTCATTTTACCATGATGATGGTATATTATTTATACAGAAAATGAGTTTCATAATGACATTTCCATGTACATATATAGTGTGTCCTAATTTGCTTTCCATTGCTTTCATAAATACCATGGCCAAATGAAACCTGGGGAGAAAATGGTTTATTTAATCTTACAGGTTACAGAGAGAGCATCATGAAGGGAAGCAGGGACCTGGAGGCAGAAACTAAAGCAGAGGACATAGAAGAACATTTCTTGTGGCTTGGTCCCTTTGGCTTTGTCAGTTTGCTTTCTTATTCCACTCAGGCCCACCTTCCTAGGAAGGGCTCTACCCATAGCAGCCTGGGTGAGCCTATATCCATCACTAAGAAATGCCCTGTAGAGATGTCCATAGGCCTATGTAAAAAAAATTTCCTTTTTCCCCAAGTGTGGTGGTTTGAATAGGTATGGCCCCCACAGAGTCATGTGTTTGAATGCTTGGCCCACGGGGAGTGGCACTATTAGGAGGTGTGGCCTTGTTGGAGGAGGTGTGGTCTTGTTGGAGGAAGTATGCCACTATGCGGGGTGGGCTTTGAGGTCTCCTATGCTCAAGTCAGGCCCAGTGTAGAAGACAGTTCCTTTCTGCTGCCTGCAGATCAAGATGTAGAGTTCCCAGCTCCTTCTCCAGTTCCCACAGTCAAGAGAAAGGGGGTGGGTGACACCAAGATTCCACACATTCTTTAGGCCTCCTCCTCTTCGTCTTTGTGTCTTAGTAAGAGAACAGAAAGGATTGCTGGCACTCTGAAGAATCTTTTAGGATTACCCATGGGAGGTATGCACTGAGTCCTATCTGTTAGGAGCATTTTAAAGTCTTCCTGTTTTTCAACTGAAGGAGTGACTTTCAGCTGGAAGGATTGGGTCTACCTGGCAGAGATCTGGGGAATGTCCATTAACTGTACAAGTTTCCGATTGACATTGGGCTATCCTAGGGAAAGCTGCTCCATTTAACCTTAGCCTTTTGTGTGTGATATATTCTTTTTTTATTTTTCTGATCACCAGAGTCATGTGTACTTTTTGCAGGGTACTTAAAAGATCTAAAAACTCCAACCAGCAAAAACTATTAAAATTCTTATGAAGTAGATGAACACCACAACATGTCCACACTGCTTCCTTCCGGTATCACATGCATTTTATTCCTTCGTGATTGAGTTCTGCAGTACACGAAAGCACCTTCACATCCTGTGTCTTATGCCTGGTGTCGTGATGTACAACTCTGAGTTACGTCTGGTGCAGATGCCTAACTCATCATCTTCAGTAGAGAAGGTTTTCCTCGACGTAATCTCAGCTTATCTACGATCACCAATAATACGGTGGCAAAGAGTTTTCTTTATCCATATTTTCTAGAAAGTTGTAAATTAAGAATTGAAAAAAAAATCCGGATGTACTCTGTCGTATTATTTTCCAGGAAGGTTGTTGTTGAAAAGGGTGGGGGAGTAGTACTGGATCTGGTGGAAAACATGCGCCAATATTCTTTGCTTCAAGGACAAACCCTTCTGGGCAAGGGGTAGAGTGAGGTGAATTTGAATGAGAAGTCTGGCCCGAGGTAACTGACATGTCAGAAATGGCTACCTTGGGAAATTGAGTTTATCAACCTACTTAGGACCTTAGCATTTTAATGATTCGGGATAGGAATTTTGATTGTAAAATCTCGCACTTGACTCCACACTCTTTAGTGGAAAGCATCGTAACTGCTGGGCTTAACCCAGTTCTAAAAGTACAGCAGGACTGAACAGAAAACCAGAGAATCCAGAGTATTTGGTTAAGTATTATTTTGTGAAACTTGTTTTCAGGGTGTGTGTGTGTGTGTGTGCGCGCGCGCGCGTACGTGCGCATATGCGCATGCATACTTAAGTATAACCTGATGCACAATCAGAGATAAATAGACCTTTATGTCCCTTTCCTTAAGTTCTGTCCTCCATGTAATTATTCACTGATGGTAGGACTCTTAGCCTGCATTCCACTTTAACTGAATCTTCTTTCAGTTCTGTTTCAGGAGCCGTGAGCGAGCACTGTTCTTTTCCTTTCCTCTTCTCACATTGCATGGATTTTGTTATAAAGGTACATTGTTATAGAGGTACATTGCATGGTACCACTGTCGAATATGGCTAATTATTTCACCGTTCGGTTAGTACTACAAACTTCACTACAACAACGGAGTGCCCGGCTGGTGGCAGGGGGCCCAGAGGACAATTGTTGAGTTGGTCTACTGCACATCTTTTGCAGAGTGTCTCTTGTCGTGTACAGGGAAGCAGATGTAATGCCAATTCCACCAGCATTTCTCACTCAATCTCATCCATGCTAAACAGGCCAGTTAGGCATTAAGTCATGTCTCTGGGTAGCTTAAGTGGAAAGTGTGAACAGAGAAACCACTTTATGTGAGGACAGTTGAAAATTAGATCCCTTCCCCTCCCCACTCCTCTTCCCCAGGGGAGGGGGCACTTATCAGCCAAGAGCTTGGCGCCCGAACCGTGCACGTCCTGAGCTCCAGAGGTTTGCCAGCACGCACGATCTGCGGCGCCGAGAGCTCTTCTCCCCAGATGAATTCTCATAGTATCACAGAAGCGCGCAGTCCCGATCGATACTGGATGGCAGACGTGCTCCCGCCGTCAAGTGTAGGCACAGGGCGGTGGATTTAGCCGCCCTGCAGATCGCTCGCTGCGTCTCATCAGCTCAGCACCGGCAGAGGGACGTTAACCCGTTCCCGCGCGGATTCCCGCCTTGTCGCTGTCCCTCCACTGTCTTCCCGAGGCGGCCGAGCCTTTCAGCGCGACGCCCAGGTGCGAGTCCGGTCGGCTCCCGGCGCGTGGCGGACTAGTGGCTCCTGGCTCCCCAGTGCGTGGTCCCCAAGCGTGTACTGGGCGCCCCAAGCCTCTTCGTGCCCGCTCGTCTTCCCGCGTCTCTGTCGGGGCGTCCGGCCCGGCGGAGGCCCCGCCCCGGGACCCGCTCCCACTCCTGATTGGCCGGCGCAGCCCGAGGGGCCCGGCCCGACCCGGCCCGGCGTCTCAGCTATAAAGCGAGCGGCCGCATGCCCGGCTCGGTCCAGCCCGCCTAGCTCCGGGGCTCGCCCGGGCACCCGACCCACCATGCCGAGGGGCTTCCTGGTGAAGCGAACCAAGCGCTCGAGCAGCTCGTACCGCGCGCGCCCAGCCGAGCCGCTATTCCCCCCTCCGGGTCCCCTCGCGGTGCCACCCTCGCCGGAGGAACCTGGTCGAGGGCTGTTGGGGTCCCCCTGCCTCTCATCCCTGCAGGACGGCGCCGAGTGGGGCGCGAGTGGCGGCGACGGCCCCGGACCCAGCCCCGCGAGGCCGGCGGGCCCCGAGCTGCGCCGCGCGTTCCTGGAGCGCTGCCTGCGCTCGCCGGTCTCCGCGGAGTCCTTCCCCAGCGCCACCGCCTTCTGCTCCGCGGCGCCCGCGGCCGCGACCTCGGGGGAGCAGTTGGTGCCGCCGCGGGTCCCTGTATCCGTCCCAGTCCCCATCCCCGTGCCTGCCCCGCATGGCTTCCAGCGCCGCGGTAAGGGTGCCCCAGGCTGCTCCTCAGCTCCCGCAGCCGTCAGGAAACCTAAGGCGGTGAGGAGGCTGAGCTTCGCAGACGAGGTGACCACGTCCCCGGTGCTGGGTCTGAAGATCAAAGAGGAGGAGCCCGGGGCGCCGGCACGGGCTCTGGGCGGCGTCCGCACACCGCTGGGGGAGTTCATCTGCCAGCTGTGCAAGCAGCAGTACGCCGACCCCTTCGCGCTGGCTCAGCACCGCTGTTCCCGCATCGTGCGCGTCGAGTACCGCTGTCCCGAGTGCGACAAGGTCTTCAGCTGCCCCGCGAACCTCGCCTCCCACCGCCGCTGGCACAAGCCACGTCCCACGCCTGCCTGCGCCGCGAGTAAACCTCATGAGCCGCTGACCCCTCCGGACCCTTCCCTGGCGGCGGGCAAGGAGAACGGCCGCGTGCCCCGGACCGACGATCAGCACCTGCAGGCTCGGGACAGCTCCGGGGACGGTCAGCACCGGGACAGCGCCGCGCGCCCGGGCCTGCAGGCTCTGGTGCACCCGGAGGCCGCGCGACCGCAGGCCCCCTACCCCGAGGTGATTCTAGGGCGCCACGGGCCCGGGCAGAGCGGTGCCAGCGCAGGAGCGACATCCGAGGTCTTCGTGTGCCCGTATTGTCACAAAAAGTTCCGTCGCCAAGCCTATCTGCGCAAGCACTTGGGCACCCATGAGACGGGTTTGACCCGTGCACCAACCCCGGGTTTCGGCTCGGAGCGCACAGCCCCACTCACCTTTGCCTGCCCACTTTGCGGGGCGCAGTTCCCATCCGCGGATATCCGAGAGAAGCACCGGCTATGGCACGCCGTCCGCGAGGAGCTGCTACTGCCCGCCTTGGTCGGGGCTCCTTCGGAAGCGGGTCCCGGAGGGGCACCCGATGGTAGCGCTCAGCAGATTTTCTCCTGCAAGTACTGCCCGTCCACTTTTTTTAGCTCCCCCGGCTTGACCCGGCACATCAATAAGTGCCACCCCTCCGAAAGCCGGCAAGTGCTGCTGCTGCAGATGCCACTGAGGCCTGGCTGTTGAGGACCGAGATTTCAAGAATGGCTTGAAGAAAACAATATGGGGAACTCCTGTGGGGCTTTCTTCATCTTGCAAATTTCCAGTTTCCTTCCTATGCCTTCCCTCTTAAAACTCTTTGCCATGATCTGCCGGAGGAGAGGGCAACAAGATGTAAAACCCCCTCTCTAGAGCAGGTATGTACTTGGCATAAAAATTTACGGTCAACGCTGACAGCTTCAAGTCCTCATTTCCACGAAAATAGGATTTCTCCTTCCTTAAAACGCTGGAGACCCCAATGGATCCCTCTCGGGTTTGTAGTTCCTATGGAAAATCGCAGCGAACGCCTACAAGTCTGTCTACACAAGGTTCTACCAAAAGTGGTAGTCACCAACGTTTTTTCTTTTTTTTCTTTTGCCACCTCAGGCATTTATGTTGTTTCTGTTTCAACAGGGTCAGTTTTTTTTGTTTTTTTGTTTTTGTTTTTGCCGTGTATATTCTGTAACTCAAGCTATGTGACTGATGTCAAACCTGAAGGGAAGAAGACTCAGACCCACATAAATGGACAGGAAATCTGAGGATGTTGCTGTCTGGTGTGATCCTGTCCCTGGGACTTTCTTTCCTCAGTTGAATGTATTAGTCCCTTCTTTTAAATTAGGCTTTGGAGGGAGGGAAGGTGTTGCTTAATGAGAACGAGTTGACGCCCTCTGAAGTTTGCTATTTAATGTGGTGCATTAGGAGGAGCTACTTAAAATCTTTCTTTACATAACTTTAAAGAAATACAATACTCATTCCTGAAGTGTGAATGTTTTCATAGCAAGATTTCATTTAAATTATGTAATGATTATGCTGTAAATCTGCTGCATATCACATCATAAACTGTTTGACTTAAGGGAGATGTTAACACTTGCAATCTACCATGAACTGAATGGCAATTCACTCAATATTTTATACTTTCTTTTCAGGAGCAACTTTTGAATTTCTTTTTGTAAATCATATTCAATGTGTATTCTGTAACTATTCCCTCAATAGCCAGAGTCTGGGACACTGGCAGAGTGCTCTTTGACAAATAGATTTGTAAGAATGGTTCCACCAAATAAATGTATGTAGACTGTGCTTGTTTTATTCTGTCTTAAGAAATGGCTGAGTACAGTGTAGTTTTAAAGACACATTTCTTACCTCTCCAGTATTTTCCGTAGATTCTTAGGGACCTATTCTGACCAAACACAAAAGGCAGGAGATATTATATCTAGCAAATGAATATAATGGCGCTGAAATGCAATGGGAATTCCCCCTTAAGTCTAGCTGCAGACTACAGCAGCTCCAGGCAAGAGAGAATATGAACTGTTTTTTCTTTAACTCTCCAAAACACCCCACAATGAATGCAACAGACAATAGAACAAGGTTTGTTTTTAAAGTCTACTCAACAGTGTTACCTGGCGATGACAGGAATTAAATAAATGGTGCTAATTAGTTTCACTGTTTCAAGTCAGCATTTTCTCTCCATCTTGTTACCAGTTATCAGCCCAACAGAAGTATGTAAGGAGTTAAACTTGATTTTTCCTTTGAAAAATTCTTCCTGTTGGCTGCAGGGAAACTCTCTAGAGGGTTTAATCATATTCCTACAGGCTCTCTTTACTCATTTGATTGTTTTTATTTATAGGAATTAATTTTCATAAAAAGTGCACAGGAACTCTAAATATTTGTTTAGAAAAATTTGGTAGAAAGTTCTATTCATGAAAATATATTTAAAAACACTGAAAATGTAAAAACTCAAATGCCATGCATGAGATGGTCACATTGATTTTGGTCCTTAGTGAATGCTTGCACTGACGGTGGGGGGCCCCTGAGAAACACACTCCTGTTGCTGAGAACACATGTCTTTACTTTTTACGATTAGCTAAGATACCTCAGGGGTATGTTACAGCTCCCAGTGTCTGAAAATACACACAACAGAATATGATCATGGACAACAAGTGTGAAGAATATTTTTATTTTGTTTTATTAAATACCATGTCATCTTTTTGTCCCATTACAAATCTGTAGACACTACATGAATGATACATAATTTATATTCTGTGGTTTGTCAGGATGATATATTTACACATGCAGTTGGTATCACTCATGCTACATTTCCTTAGGAGATGCCCATGTTAAACAGAAGGAAGCTGCTTATTTACTACAGGAAACACTTCTGGAGGTGGGGTGCATTCCAACCTGCACCTGCAGCCAAGTGTAGTACTAAACTATTATATTTAACTTAGACTTGTGGGTCATGTTCCATTGCTTTTTAACAATACACATAATTTGAGCAAAAAACGTTTTCCACCCTTTTCTCCATCACCTTCTTTTTTGGTACTTAAGAAAGTACACAGGCACACCAGGATAAACTGCTCAATAAGAAAGGACCAGAGCCTCAAAACACAAACAGTACTTAACAGTGATGCCACCTAAAAAAGCAGAACGAAGTTGTTTGAAAGCTAAATAGAAATCAACGTTCAGTTGATTTTCCTGGTTATTGAGTGTGTTGTGTCATCATCTGCACTGGGGAGACAATGTTACTACATGTAATTTCAGGTGGATCTGAGCTGCTGCATGGCTGTTAAGAGTGTTTCTGTCTTAACACAAACATCCTGGATACAGCCTATGTGATACACAGAGGAGCAGCTCTGCTCTGACTGTATGAATGCTTCCATTCATTGAGTCTGTGGGCTGGGCTTGAAGGACAGTGCGCTTGCCTAGCATGCTCGGAAGCCTGGCTTCCATTCCCAGCACCACCAAAAACATTAGTAAAAACTATGTATTTACTAAATCATAAAGTTGTAATGAGGCACAATAAATAAGACTATCTGTCCAATTATATTTTGGCTCAACATTCATTATGAACTTAAAGGTAACACTACTTAGACATGATTATCTAGGAACGTGAAGTATGGAATAAAACTCAACCCTCAAAATACGGCAGCTTGGAGTGTGAAAAAAAACTGAATTAAATAAATAGTCCAAATTCAAAATAGTAGGTTGAAAATGACTTTAAGTCCAGTGTTTTCTCAGATAAATGCACAGGAAGGAGCATGAGTGCTACGGCAAACACGAGGCCTGAACGAGTTAACACTACTGCTGATCACTGCCAGGCTGTTTGTCTCCTTAGGATTTATTGGCTGAGCCAGAGGACCGACGCAGCTTCATGGACATGCGGCTTTTGCTAGTTCGAGGAGACATGGGAGAGGCCAGGTCAGCCCCATCTACCTGTGCTGCTGTGGGAGCGTCACTGGGTGGAATCTCTGGGTAGGATCCTGCAGGAAAGAGTGAGCACATTAGTATCCTTCAGGCTCTCACACCGTAACAACCTTTCTGCTGCTAATCTGAAGCAGGATCCCAACCCTTTGTAAGGACTTTAGAGGTAAAAAAAATTAAGCCCCAGACTCACTGTTCCCCAAAGCTTACTGAAATGCTGTGATTTGGTGACTCATGCCATCATATTAAAGAAAGCACCAATCATAGTGTCCTGCTAAAAGCAACTGGAAGTAAAAACTTCAGGCCTGAAAGAACAGAAATCCAAACCACCACTGGCATGCAGGGAAGGGCAAAGGACGTGAGGAGGAGGAGCAGCCTCATCCCTAACAGCCAGAGAGGATGTCTGACACTAGCACACGCAGGCTCCAAACAGGGAAGTGCTTAGGAGACCATGTCAGGTACTTAAGTAGGCTACAGAAGGAGGAGACAAACGCTTGGGAGAGGGAAAATATAGGAATGCTCATTTGAAAGCTGGTCAGAAAAGACAAACTGACCTCAGAAAATGTCTTTAGACATCTGCTTTTGTGTTCGTTAGCTTAGATGTCTATAGCTAGCAGTAGAATTAGTAGATACAGAATTTTAAAATAGGCAAAACACATTCAAGGTAGGAAAAATCCAGTTTCGCTTACAGGGCAGTTCTTCAGAGCCTCACTGATACTCAGGGCTTGGGAATAATTATGCTGGTATTTCTACATAATAAAATACGTATGCTTAAACTGAAGGCATACATATTTGTAAAAGAAAAAATGTATTCCTTGTACAGATCCTGCTGAGATATCTTGAGAATATATCCCCCCTCCCCAAGGAATTCTTAAAAGGTCTTTTAAAGACCAAGTGGTACAATTATACTCAGGGACAAATACACATATCTAATGGAACTGACTCGTCCCTCGGACTCGTTATGATCTGCCCAAAGTAGCTTCTCTAACGTCTTCTAACCGAGACGAAGCTGGCCTATGAAATAAAACACGGAGTGTTTTTGCTTATGTTCTTCTTCCCAGTGATCTGAGCTGGGTCGCAGTAAGACGAACTAGAATACTGAGAGACTATATGTCCACAATTCATTTAGGGAAGCCTGGCACAAGGACGGAGAGAGCCAAAGAGGAGCAGTAGCTGAGCTTCCTGGTCAGAGCAGGTGCTGCTGTGTGAGGAGAGGTCTGCCCTCCCAGGGCTGTTACCTTGAGGGCAGTGTCTCTAGCGGAGGTTTGGAAGAACAGAACTAGTAGTGCATGCCTTTCTGCTGTGAAGGAAGAAATGCAGTGGCGAGCAGAGTGGAGAACAAAAGAGCAGACGGAGACAGATGTGAGACTCTGCAGGCGCTAGTTACCGAGCAACAGAGAACACCCAGGTGTCTATGACGAACACGGCTGGCATGCGGTGAGTTAGGGTGCTGATGCCCACCCCACAATGGCCAGTGCCCCCGAGTTCAGACGCCATACTTACCAACTAACAAAACAAGTTCACATAGGAAAGAGAACAGGAAAAAAGTCTGTGAGAGAGCTGAGAAACATCCACTGTCTAACGTGTCCACTGCACTGATACTGTCTTACAATTCAGTCATAAGATCTTTAGATAGACAGTGCATAGGATAACAGCCATATTAAAACACTTAAACTTCATGTAATTAAAATTAAGAATTTAAATTCCTTGCTACACTAGCCATGTTCAAGTGCGGAGTCACGTCTGGTTAATTACTCCCATCTTGGATAGAGCAGACACGTGACAGCTACATTACCACAGGAGTTTTACTGAAGAGCATCCCAGTAAAGAATCTTTATTCAGGTAATTCTTTCTCCTCAAACCCAGTACTAGAATAAAGACTCTGGAGCTGTTTTCACTGGTTGAAACTCTAACTCTTGAAGGCAGTTTGACTTTCACTACTTTTAAACAACAGAAAAGAAAGCTGATCTCTGAGCAGTGGGTACATATCCTGCTTCTCTAGCTAGAAAATACTTCCCTCAAAACTGGCAGTTTCCCCATGTCTTTCCTATGGTCTCACAATAGGCACTGTGTAATGAGGCGCTACAGCCACATTAAAATGACTAAATTTCATGTAATTAAAGAGAAACGGACGGAGGCAGGGCTGGTGGCATCTCATGCCTACACTCCTACAAATGACACACGGAGTATGTTCAGCTCAGCCACGCTCCACAGCAGCTCACAGGAGGCAGGCCTCAGTTTTGGATTTGTAAAAAATATAGTCACACTTGCCATTTCCTATTATATTCTATTCTTCCTAAATTATTGATTTACACCTTATAAGTCATGAAGATATCACTGAGTTATTTCTATCATTCTGTATCCTTCAGGGTAGCTTAAAAAGTACCCAGGGCTCCTATTTCCACGCACTGACCCTCTGACGGCACAGTACTCTACAGACTGTCTACATTTGACTATACAAGTTGGTATATACTGCATGCTGATTACAATAAACTATCTTAGATGATATCATGGATATGCCTTTGGGAGGCACCACAGACATTTCAAATGGAAACACAAATTTTTTAAAATTTATTTTTATTTGGTCTGTATTATCTGCTGACAAACATGACCACTATAAAACTTTCTAAAGTTATTGGCAAATAAAGTCTATTGAAACTTTGAAAGTGCCTTCAATTAGACAAACCACGATGGGAATGTGTTAGAATGGGGCTAGGAGCTTCTGGTCTCATTTTATAATAATAATAATAATAATAATAATAATAATGACAACAACAACAACAACAACAACATATTTACATGTATTTTGGAGGTCCCCCCCCCCCCCCGCACATGTGGACGTCATGATGCATGTGTGG